AGTGAAAAAACAGTAAAGACAGTTACAAAGTGAAAAAAGAGAATCATGTAGTTACAGAAACTCCAACTATAGACGAAGTCAAGTAGATTTCAAGGTAGAAAAAGCTGTTTTAAACTTGAGACGAAATTAATGTGTAACTTGGGTGAAGGGGGAGGTAATACATAATAAGAGGTAGATTGTGGGGGAAATAATGGAGAAAGGGGAAGACATTGTGAGGACAAAGTATCAAAGACAACAGATATAAATACTGTCATATACACAATCCTGCAAAAAAGGTGATCTACAAGTAGATGCATGAATATACATGCAGGCTGAACAGGGTGGAAAGGAAAGGGAGAGTAAAAACCAAAACCAAGCCAACTGTCGTATAGTCAATTCCAACTTATAGTGACCCTGTATAGGGTTTCTAAGGCTGTAAATCATTACAGGAGCAGAAAGCCTCATTTTTCTCCTGCGAAGTGGCTATTGGGTTTGAAATGCCAAACTTGCAATTAGCAGTCCAGTGTTTATCATACAGCACCACCAGGGCTCTTGAAGGTGGGAGTTGTTGTGTTATTAGGTGTCATTAAGTTGATTCCAACTCATAATGACCTTATGCACAATAAAACACAACATGCTTGGTCCTGAGCCAACCTCACAATTGTTGTTATGCTTGAGCCCATTGTTGCTGCCACTGTGCCAATCCATCTCATTGGGTGTCTTCCTCTTTTTCACTGACATCCACTTTTTTAAGCATGATGTCTTTCTCCAGGGACTGATCCCTCCTGATAATGTGTCCGAAGTATGACAGATGAAATCTTGTCATCCTACTTTCTACAGAGCTTTCTGGTTGTATTTCTTCCAACACAGATTTGTTTATTCTTCTGGAACTCTGTGGTACTTTTAATATTCTTTTCCAACACCATAACTCAAATTCATCAATTCTTCTACTGTATTCCTTAGTCCAACTTTCACATGCATATGAAGTGACTGAAAATGCCATGGCTTAATAGAATTCAACAACATATCAAAAAATAATGTATCATAAGCAAATGGGATTCATACCAAGGATGCAAGTATGGTTCAATATTAGAAAAACAATCAATGTAATCCACCATATAAATTTAAAAAGGAAAAGAGCCACATGATCATATCGATTGATGCAGAAAAGGCATTTGACAAAATCCAACATCCATTCTTAATTTAAAAAACAACAATGTAGGAATTAAAGGGAAATCCCTCAGCATAATTAAGAGCATATACGCAAATCCAACAGCCAACATTACTCTTAATGGAGAGAAACTGAAAGCATTCCTTTTGCAAACAGGAACCAGACCAGGATACACTTTATCACCACTCCTATTCATTATTGCCTTAGAAGTCTTAGCCAGAGCTATAAGGCAAAAAATGGAAATTACAGGCATCTAAATTGACAATTAAGTAAAAACTCTATTTACAGATTCTCTGATCCTTTACATAGAAAATCCCAAAGACTCAGCAAGAAAATTAATGGAACTCATTGAAATATTCAGCAAAGTGGCAGGATACAAGATCAACATACAAAAATTAGTTGGTTTCCTCTATCCCAATGAAAACAACTCTGAAAAGGAAATTAAGAAAACAATACCATTTAGAATGGTGGTGGTGGTTATGTGCTGTGGAGTCAGTTCTGACTCATAGTGACCCTGTATAAGGTTTCTGAGGCTGTAAATCTTTACAGGAGCAGAACTCCTCATCTTTCTCCTGCGGAACAGCTGGTAGTTTCTAACTGCTGACCTTAAGGTTCTCAGTGCAATTTGTAACCACTATGCTACCAAAGCTGCTTACCACCCAAAAGATGAAATATTTAGGAATAAATCTAACCAGGGAAACAAAAGGTCTATAAACAGAAAACAACAAAATACTATTACAAAAAAACAAAAAAGGTTTAACAAAGATGGAAAAATATACGATGCTCATGGATAGGAAGACTTAACATTGTGGGAAATGTCAGTGCTACCCAAAGCAACCTATAAATATAACATTATCCCAATCTAGATATCAACATCATCCTTTAAAGAGATGGGAAAAATGATAACTAACTTTATATGAAAAGAAAAGAGACCTCAGATAAGCAAACTACTGCTTAAGAAGAACAAACTTGAAGGCCTCTCACTCCCAGATCTCAAAATTTACTACACACAGTGGTCAAAACAGCCTAGTGCTGAATTAAATTCTTCAACTGCACTCAGAAACAATCCCAGAGGAAGCCTTATCTGTACTTAATATTCAAATAAATATTCTTTTTGTGTGTGGTTAAAAAAAACAAACAAAAACAGCCTAATGCTGGTATAAAACAATGGAATTGAATCAAGAACCCAGAAGTAAATCCATCCACATACAGTTAACTGATCTTTTTTTTTTATTTTTTTTTTTATTGTGAATTATGTAATACTTTACATGGGAGAACATTAGCATTACATTCATCCTATCGCATTTCATTTCATTGCAATGATTACAATTCCCTGCATGCATCATCAAGCAGCCAAAGGATGTGTCCCGTAAGCCTGTCCCCTGGCCATCAACACACAGCCCCTCTCCCTCCCAGAGTCTAGAGTTGCCAACTGCTCCATCTCTCCACGTCATTGTCTCTGCCTCCATCTCTGGTGTCGCTGCTTCTCTGGGTAGGGTCCCACACTCAGCTCTTCTCCCTTGATGGTCCCAGGGTCCTCCACTCCTGGACTGCAAGGTCAGCCACTTCCCTCATTTTGTTACAAAACATTTACCTTTACATTTCCAACACTCCCAATCAGTCCTGATAGCAATTATACACTATTGAACCACAAGAGTCATATCCCCATTTCTTTTCACCATTCCCGTCCAAACAGGTTGGAAAACACTCAGTGAAGATACTACCTTCTACCATACCCTCTGAAACTAGGCTCCCTCTTGAAAGCTTGTAAGCCAGTCACTTCATTGCATTTGTAGGCATCCACCACCACCACCATTTTGGGTAGCCAATGTATAAGTTGCCCATCCCTGTCAACCCTGTGTACAGAGGAGGTGGGAGTGATCCTCGCTGTAAAGATTCATTCCCTCTTTTGATCTACTGTATCCACAAGCATAGGTCAAGTTAATCAAATTGTAGCAGATTACTCTTTTTCTCCTCATCTTTCTTTCTCTAGTTGAGTTTTTGTCATCCAGCCATTGAAGCCAGGTCAAGTGTACAATCTGCAAGTATGGGTGTTCTTGTGCATCTCCCCTCCATATCAGCTGAACCCTTCACTCTCCACTCTAGTTCTCTGTAGCCATGTCCCTGTCCCTGGGCCCAGAAGTTCCCAGGTCTCGCCAAACTGCTGGCTAACCAGGTCTCAATCCAGGTACACAGGAGTCTATTGAATGTGGTCGGACTTAGCTCACAACTTCATTTCTGCTTTCCCCCCACTTCCACTTATCGGTGACCAACGTGCTCAGCAGCAAGACCACATGCCTGCTCGTGTATTCCCCTTGAATCTTAGTCTTAGAAGGGGTTTGGCCTGAAGGGACCAGTCAACTGATCTTTGACAAAGGACCAAAACACATTAAATGAAGGCAAGATAGTCTCTTTAACAAATGGTGGTGGCAAAACTGGAAGTCCATTTGCAGAAGAATGAAATAAGTCCCATGTCTTACCACATACAAAAACAAACTCTTCGAGGATTAAAAACCTAAATGTAAAACCTAAACCTATAAAGATCATCAATGAAAAAAATAGATGATTGGGACCTCTTAAAGATTAGACATTTATTTATGTGCATCAAAAGGTTTTACCAAAAAGTAGAAAGAGACTCCACAGACTGGGAAAAAGTTTTGCCATGATATATCAAACAAGGGACTAACATCTAAAATTTATAGAAAACTACAACACCTCTACAAGAAAAAGACAAACAACCTAATTTAAAAAATGGGCACAGTACATAAATAGATGATTCACCAAGGAAGACATCCAGGCAGCCAACAAACATATGAAGAAAGGTTCATGATCATTAGCCATTAAAGAGATGCAAATCAAAACAACAATGAAATATCATTTTACACTAGTATTAACAGGGAAGTTAAAAAAAATACAAAAGCAACAAATGCTGGCAAGGCTGTGGAGAGACTGAGATCCTCCTACATTGCTGGTGGAACTCTAAAATGGTTCAAGCACTCTGGAAAATGGTATGGTGCTTCTTCAGAAAGTTGGAAAGAGAAATACCTTATGACCCAACAATCCCTCGATTTGCCATATAGGCACAAGAAATAAAAGCCAGGACGCAGTAGATAGATATATGCACACTCAACGTTTACCACAGCCCTATTCACAATAACAAACAGATAGAGATAGTCTAAGTGCCCATCAATGGAAGAATGGATAAACAAACTTTGATACATACACACAATGCAATACTATGCAACACTGAAAAATAATGATGAATCTTCATAACATGGACAAACCTCATAACATGGACATCATACTGAGTGAAATTAGCCAATCACAAAAGATAAATATTGTATGATATCAATATCGTAAAAAATTAAGAAAAGATTATCGTACTAAAAAAAAACATTCTTTGAAGATTACCAGGGGTAGGAAGGAGGGGAGAGCAATTCGCTAGCTAGAGGGTAGACATATGGTAGCTGGGGTGATGGGGAGGGCAATATACAATATACAAAAAAAAGGGTGGCAGAAGATTGATAAAGAAAGGTGAATACACAGGGAGGTATGCATGGGCAGAAGGGAATAGATGAAAATAGTGATGCATACATAGCCTTGGAACAATAGTGTTCTGTATATAGATAGAAACATGAATTGAGACGTAGGCTGAATGGGAACGAAAGGAAGAGTGAGATATATACATATATATTTATATATATATATATATATATATATATCAAATGTATTTAAGAGTTTGAAAGATGATTTTTTGTGCTCCATCTTCTCCCCTTTGTCTCAGCAGAAGTCGCTCAGCTCTGTCCTTCCCGTTTTCAGCATCCAGAATTCCCTCTTGTGAGAAGTTAAGATGCTGCTTCAGAGTGAGCTGCACCTCACGGTGGTGGCAACCAGTCATGGGCCTACGTGCATCAGAAGAGAGTTGCCCCCAGGCCAACCCCAGCAGCTCTCCTGCCAGCAGCAACCCTACTGTCTGAGGCTCACCTGCTGCTGCCCATCAGCAGCCAGGTCTGATACCCCAGATGGCAACTATAGCAACTGGTGTAACTATGGGCTCTGCTGTTGGGCATACACCAGGCCATGCCATCACCAGAGACCTCAGTAGAGGAAGTAAATGCTGAGCCCAAAACAAGACCTGACATCACTTATCAGGAGCTTCTGGGAGCCCAGCCAGCATACCAGCCAGCAATAGCAGCAATTTGGTCCTTGCCACTATGAGATGAAAACAGTTTTTGGAATGTGCTCAGAACCAGGGCAACCTCAAACACTGTGATGGGTTCAGAGAGGTGCTGAAGCAATGGAGATTTACAAACAGGTTAGCATAATCAAGAAGTTCAAGTTGAAGAAATAGGAAATCATCTTTCCTGACCAAGTTAATTTAGCATAAAACTAGGATTGATAGCAACAATATATAATGTGTACCAGCACCAATTAAACCTTTCCTCCATCATTAATAGCTCACTTGTTTCAGAAACACCATGGAAGAGGGTGTTGAGATGAAGTAATATGTGGAGCAGGGCAGAAGTTTGTGGGGCGTCCTTAAACTAGCTGTTGTGATTGTCTGAATTAATTAGAATGAAGTTATTTTCTTCCAAAAATAAAGGGCATATGTACATGAGTATTTACCTTTCCTGCAAATGCAACTATGAATGTGATGGAGCATTCAGTGGGCAAAATGATGAAAACTTCGTAGATATTATCAAACATCTTAAAGCAATGAGTTCATTGGCCTGGGGGCTCAGGACCATTGTCTCAGGGCACACCATGGTCAATTGACATAACATAATCCACAAAGACAATGTTCTACATCCTGTTTGGGTGAGTTGTTGTTGTTGTTGTCAGGTGCCATCGAGTCGGAACCGACTCATAGCGACCCCATGCACAGCAGAACGAAACAATGTCCGATCCTGGACCAAC